GATTCGTCTCTGTTCACAAGAGTCACTTGATCTAAGTTGTCTCCTAGAAAGAGCAGCTAGATGATCGAAGTAGACAAATAGTACATTTAGTACGAAGTTTTTGAATACTTGGACTTAAATAAAGCAAGATAATGGAAATGTAAATAGTTCATATAAAGTAATTAACTCAACTAATTTGCGATTGTGGTATAAATTATCTATGGTGGAACCTATGCACCACACATTGAAACGCCAGTCCAAACGTGGTTCTTTGGATCACTCAAGGATAATAACCCAAATGCCTCTGAGAGTAATAGGCCGTTTCGCCGAGCTGTAAATATCAACTTATTTTGAGAAGTTTTTTTTTTCAAAAGTACTTTTCTCAAAAGTACTTTTGGTGAGAAGCGTTTTGTGTTTGGCTAATTAGTTTGAAAAGCACTTCTAAGCAGCAATTAGTGTTTGGCCAAACTTTAAAAAACTGCTTCTAAGTGTAGAGTCTAAGCAATCAATCTAGAGTTAGAGTCTAAGCAAGCGTACCGTTAAACTCCATGTATTCAGCAGCGACAACAAACAACGATTAAGCCTGAGACCAACTTCCACAATCCACTAGCTATGCGCACTCACAACCCGGAGAACTTGATTGATGGGATGTCTACTATTACCACGTATTCAAGAGGCAGAATACGCTAGGGTTTTCTAATAGCTAGGGAAAGGGGGGTTGACCTCTATTTATAAAGAAGTGTCTACCCATCACAGACCAATAGTTATTGGGTCTTACTTATTCACACACACATATTTAATATTAGGCCTTTTATTTATCCACCACTTAGACCATGTCACTATCCTTTTAGGCTATAACCAATTAACGTAAGTCCAAATTCCAACATTTTTCTCAAAAGTGCTTCTCGAAAAAGTGCTTTTGGAGAGAAACTATTTTTTTTATGCTTCTCCAAAACTGCTTCTGCTTCTCCTCAAAAACGCTTTTTTTTTCTTTCAAAAGCTTGGCCAAACACCTCAATTTTTTGCCAAAATGTCAAAAGTGTTTTTGGCAAAAAAAAAAAAACACTTTTGGCCAAACAGGCTATAAGCCTAATTGTTTTAGCAAAGAGGCTAGATCTTGTCTCATAAATTCAAAAAGAATTGGACCAGTTGGAATTTAGGATGTGAATCCAACTGGTACTTAAAAAATTGGTTTATGTGACGGAAAATGAAACTACAGAAAAGGGAGGACAGAATGATATTGTTCTAACTTCTAACAAGTAACATGCCATGCAATATAATTTGAAATCTCTCACCAAATAAATGACAGTTGTTTTTATTTGAATCAAAGTGAGGGGTACCTTAAACAGAACAAAAATTTATACCTGTAAATTGTAATACACATAATAAGTCATAATCTAATTGCTTAAATGAGGATCTCTTAGCAAGAATCCATCATCATTAACTGGTTACTATCATTTTGCCTTATATGTGTCAATGATACTATAAAAAATAGTTCTGCTAGTATCAAATTGTAGGCGCATAATCACTTAAATATTTTACTTATTGGATTTTCTATAACTTCATTATATAACTGTCAATTTTGAAAACAGTGAAGTGAATGATTCCTTATTTTCTTCTTTTCTTTTTAAAATAATTTGGATGAAGGGAGAGTGGAATTAATTAATTGGACGTGAAAAAGAGAGAGTAATGAGTCGGCAGGGAGAGACGACTACTAGTGAACTTTAATTTAAAGGCATTGGCCAACAAAGTCAAGTTTTCTAACCCAAATACATTGAAACCAATCACTCCTCTTTTCCTTTAGCACAAACAAACAAAAAAATAATGAAAAATAATATTAAAAAAAAGGAGCCGCAGAAGGGATATTGGCATGTTCTCTCTTTGGGAGTTGATAAGATTTTTTAATATATCTTTGAATAGAGTGATAGATATTTGCACGTCAACAATTTAATAATGTAGTTTTTTTTATAAGAGGGGATGGAGAGGTTTGCTATGTCTACCTATACTTGTACCTGTTTCTCAACCACATTAAACACCAAAGACGGGAAATTCTTGGAGGGTTGCTCTGATGGTAAGCAACCCCACTTCCAACCGAGAGGTTGTGAGTTCGAGTCTCCCCAAGAGCAAGGTGAGAAGTTTTTGGAGGGAAGGATGTCGGGGGTCTATTTGGAAACAGTCTCTCTACCCTAGGGTAAGGGTAAGATTTGCGTACACACTACCCTTCCCAGACCCCACTAAGTGGGATTATACTGGGTTGTTGTTGTTGTCGTATTAAACACCAAAGACGATCAAAATCTGGCTGCACCTATATATGATCATCACAGAACGAATTCAAGATTTTAGTTTGATAGTTTGTGACATAATACTATTATCTACTATCAACAAGATAAGGTTAGATCAACTTTTGTTTTATTGTAATATTCACCACTAAATTTCTTCCAAGTTATATTTACGTATTATTAGTTCAAGTTGACATCAGGGATAGACTCGAGTCAACTAGCAGAACGAAATTGGGTCAGAAAAGTAAGCTTAAACTAAGAAAGAATGATGTTTATTATCATAATTAGTTTTCCTAAATGTTTTTTTTATTAATGCTGAAGTCTACCATTTAAGAGTTGATTCCGCGAGATATTCTCTACTTTAATTTACTCGAAAACTATTTTATAAGCACATCACTAAGGGACCAAAATGTTTCTACGGTTTCAATTCTTAAAAAGAATTTCTTGTCAAGTTAACCATTCAATGATTCAAATGCTACAAAACAAAAGTCTATTGAGTGTCGAAGAAGTAAAACAAATGAGTAGCAGTAGCAGTATTTCCTAAGGTTCTTCCTTGTGGTGCATTCGAGCTCCTGCCTAGTCTATGTTGCAATAGCCCCAGTGTTTCCTCCTCTTCCATTTTTTCTCCCTCTTGCTCCGTCCGATTCACTTTAATTAATTTTTAATTTTTTTGTAGTCCATAATATTTGAATTTTTTCAGATACCAAAAAGGAATTAACTTCTTTTTTTCAAAGTTGACATTAGAGTAAAAAGCCTAAGATTATTATTTATATTTTCAATAAACAAAGTAAAGTTAATATGGTTAATTTTATTGTTAATTAATATTAAAAAGTGAATTCCTTGATATGTGTGAAATCAGCCAAAAAATTTATTAAAGTGGACCGGAGGGAGTATATACTTTATTGGCTCCACATTTTTTGGTTGGTATGGTATGAATTACTACCTCTTAATTGAAAGCAGCGACGGATTCAGAGCAAAATTTATTGGTTTACAAAAGCGCAATAGATTTTGTCCAGTGCTATATATATTTCAAATTTTATTAAATTTTTTATAAATATTTAATTATAAATTAATTACTATTGTATATTATCTTGATGTCGATTTAGAAATTCGTAAACTTTAAATTTTAGATTTGTCTCTATTTAAAAACTATGTGCTATAATATAATATTATGATTATATATAATCATGATGATTGACACCATTAAGACGTGTGACGTGTGACATAGTAATGGGTTTATGGATCTTTTCCAGATAATATGAATGTTAAGGACTTTGGAACAACAAGTCATGGTCTATCTTGTACTCAAACTCCAAAAGTCTCTGCCATTTATTTACGCCTTTAATTAGAAAAGAAAATAAATATTTTGTTTTCAAATATATATCATTTGAAAATTGAAACTCTTAAATAGGAATTTAACATATACTATATAATAGGAAAAAATTCAGAAATAGCCAGATTTATAACTGGTAATTAATAAAATAGCCATAGTTTCAACAACAATTGAAATTTAGCCATTTTTTCATGTAAAGATAAAATCTGAACAAAAAATCCAAAAAAATTCAGAAAATTCCAACATAATATACCGGAGTTTGAATTTTTTACATATAAGATTCCAGCATAATATGCTGGAATTTCATAATGTGCCGGAGTTCCAACATAATATGAAGGAAGTTTATATGTAGGAGCTCTATAATCCAGCATATTATGCTGGAACTTTCTGTGTGCCGGAGTTCCAACATAATAGGCTTAAAGTTTATACGCATAAACTCCATAATCCAGCATATTATGTTTGAACTTTCCGTATTTCAGGAAAATAATGACTATTTTTTAATAAATTTATAAGCGTTGGCTATTTTTTAATTATCTATCGGAAAACTGTGTAGATTACTATATAATATGGCCACCTTTTAAACGAGGAGGATTAAGAAACCAGATCTGACCTAACCCACCCCCACTCGAGTCCCCACAGTTTAGATGAGCGCACGCTCAAGCCCCATTTCATTCTGTCGCCGCACTCTCCGCTTACCGCTTGCGTGCTCTCTCTCTCTCTTTTCTTTAAGACAAAAGCACAAAACAAAAAAACAACAAATCAACAAACGCCATCTACTTCAATGTCGGAAACCATTTACAAATGGTCCAGATCCTTCCACTTTCCACAATTTCATTGGCTACACAATTAAATAAATAAAAAAAGCAATCTGGTAGCTAAAACATCCCGCATTGGCATAAGGTCTGAAAAAACCGGCACTCTTGAAGGGATGATGTAAATAATATATCCTGACGCAAATATTATTACGCTCGAATTCATGACCTATAGGTCACACGAAACAATTTTACCATTGCTTCAAGGTTACCTTTCTATTGGCACAATCAGAGTCAGATGTAGAGTGTTGATGACGGGTTCAATTGAACTCATAACTTTCGAAGCTAAGTGAAAAATTTAAATATAAAAATAATAGATATGAACTCATAACTTTAAAATATAACGGGTTCAATACGTAAACCTTAAAACTTGAACTCGCTGGGAAAGATACCGTCTCTAATTGGTCCACGTGTTGATCATCCACTACATCTCTTTTTTAAAAAAAAATAAAAAGGTGAGAAAATGCAGTTTAAAAGAAGAGAGACACTTGTCGATTCCACCAAGCCTTAAAGCTAGCGAAAGAAGAAGGGATCGACACGCTTGCTCTCTTTCTATATCTTTCCTTCTGTCAAAAAGGTAAAAATTCTGTTTGTACTGTTACTTTCTCTTCAATTTTCCTCACTATCTTCTTTTGTCTGCTTCTGCTAAGAACAAACTTAATAAAGATTAAAAGCTTTTTCTTCATTATTTCTGATTTTGATTAATTTCTTAAACTAAAATATTTTTGTAGTAATTGGGTATTCTTATCTCTTTTACTGGGCATCTCTTGAAGTTCCTTTTTTTATTTCTTTTTATTTTTTTTTGTTTTGGGTTTTAAATGAGCTTGCTTTTTCACATATTAATAAAGTTCATAAACTTTTTCTAGATTATTTTCTGATTTTGATTAACTTTTTAAACTAGAATGTTCTTGTAGTAATTGGGTATTCCTTTTAGGAATTTTCTTGAGAAAAAACTAGCTCATTGGATTTAAATGAACTTACTTTTTCACATATTCTATTGTTTGTTTTCCTAAGAATTACCTAATAAAGATCAAACCTTTTTTCTTGATCTTGTTTTGATTTTGATTTGTTTTTCAGATTATAGCTGTGTTGTAGTAATGGGTATTCCTTTTTGGACATTTCTTGAAAATTGTTTTAGCTCATTTTTGGATTTTTTACATCTTCTTTTGTCTTTCTATGCTAATATTCTTTTATCTGATACTGCTAACAGCAATCCTAATAAAGATCAAGCCTTTTTTACTTTTGAGACAAGTAACAATAAAGATCAAAACTTTTTCTCAATTATCCTTTGGTTTTGATTTCTTTTTGAAGTTTAGAATAATGTGTTAGTATTATTTATTTAACTGATTGAGTTTTTCTTTCTGGATTCAAAATTAGTTTGAAGAAGACTAATAAATCGAGATAATTGGCTGTGATCATATAAATGCTGTTTGTTTTAATTATGGAGTGTTTTTCATTTGTAGCTGATATTGGGTGAATGAGTTTGAGATTGAAGTTGATTCTTTAATCGACTTTTGATCTTGAACCATGATCTGTACATATAGCTCTATTTTCTTTACTGCTACTTTTCAATTTTTTCAAAGCTATAGTGAAGTAAGAATATAAAGGTTGCATCTTTCTTTGTTGTACTTCAATTTGTCAATGAATTTTCTGTGTGAGTTTGGATTTCTAATCCTCCATATAAATCATTTATAATGAAACATAAGTCTCGATATTTTGTGTCCGGTTGAAACTGGAACCGGCCCTGACCAGTACAAGGGGCCGGGTGGGGCTGGGTTAAAGGGGTAGGGGATTTGGTCTGTTCATGTTTTGACAACCGGTTAATCGGACCGGTAAAACTCGGTCAACGCAATTCATCCGGTTAACCGGCCCGGACCGGCCCAGACCGGTATAGCGGTAACTAATTTTTTTTTTATTTTTTTTTTACTTGTGGGCCTAAATCTGACAGTTGGCAACGGTCCATTTCCCGTTATGGCCGTTGCCCAACGGCTGAATTGCACAAATAGCCCATTTTTTTTTTTAAATTAACACCCTTTTGAAAAACTATAAATACACCCCGCAACGCCTTCCTGATGTTCTTTGGAAGGGCACGTAAGGCTAAGCAACCGATGTCAGTGCGATTGTTGTCCGCCAATGAGGTCTCCTCCGCACGCTAGACTAGATTGTCAGTGCCGTGCGGGAAAACCAATGTCATGAGCAATTGCGGAAGCTGAGAGAGAATTGGGTTTTGAATGATGATGATTTTATTGATAACTGAAAATGATGATTACAATGATGCGGCGTCGAGGGGGAGAGACACCAGAAAATGCTTGCTTGAAAATGTTTGATTGTTTGGTCCCCTTAATAATGCTTAAAAAAAATAAACCAACATTACATGACTAGTCCTAATAAAGCTGTAGAAGCACACTTTCTTCTTCGTTTTTCACTCATCTCTCATTTCTCAATCTCAAATTCTCAATTCTAGTTAAATCATGCCTTGTACTTCTAGAGTGCGCTCATATATTTGGAAACGCTTTGAGGTGGTAGAAGACAATGAAGAAGTTCAGAAAGTAAAGCGCAAGAACTGTGGTTAAGCAGTTTAAGGAGGCATATGAAGAGTTGTCTTGAGCGTCCTCTGGAAATTCATATTTAAGTTGATTTGAGACAATTTGTGTTATTTTAAAATTATTAGACGTATTTATGTTTAATGTTTTAGTTTGTTAGATTAATTTGAAGTATTATTAATTTATTATGCATGAAAATTTAGTTTTACTATTTTTTTGTTAATTTACTTGTTAAATGCAAATTTCAATTTTGTAATTTTGAAATAAATGTAGCACTTACAATTTGTAAGTGCAATTTTTTCCATCTTCATTGTATTCTTTATATTTTTACTTTATATTAATATAACTTACAATAGTTATACAAAATAAAAAAAATAATTAAAAATAACACTAACCCGTCCCGGCCCCTTGAACCCGTAACCCTTACGGTCCAATTTTTACCCGGATGAACCCGAACCCGTTAAACCCGGTATGTCCTAACCCGTAATCGGCCCGGACCATAACCCGTATGGGTACTAAATTTTCTACCCTGCCTGGCCCGGCCCACCCGTTAGACACCCATAGTTTCTTGTTATCTTGTTGTTGTTACTGTTTCTTGCTACTGCTTTCTTTTCATCTTTCCTTGAGTCGGGGTATATCGGAAACAACCTCTGCATACACACTACCCTCTCCAGACCCCACGTGTGGGATTATAATGTGTTTGTTGTTGTTGTTGTTGTTGCAAGTCTTGAAATTTTGGGAGATTTGCGCCATTTAAATCTAATAATTGAGAGATAATGTTGTTATTATTGAACTTTTGATCAGATTTCAATCTCTCTTGAGTTCTGGAATAATGGGATCTTACATGAACTTCAAGAACTTTGCTGACACGCCGCTGACAGAGAGCAATGGTGGGATGTCAATGGGAAGTGGTAATTTTCCTTTGGCAAGACAATCTTCCGTATACTCGTTAACTTTTGATGAGCTCCAGAGTACTTGTGGACTTGGAAAAGATCTTGGGTCAATGAATTTGGAGGACTTATTGAAGAACATTTGGACAGCTGAAGAATCTAATGTTGTAGCATCTGCTGCTGGCGTTGGAAATGCGAATACGACTGGAGGGAATTTGCAAAGACAAGGTTCTTTGACATTGCCTCGGACGCTTAGTCAGAAAACTGTGGATGAAGTATGGAGAGATTTCCAGAAAGAAACAACAATTAGTTCTAAAGATGGAAGTGGTACAGAATGGCCAAATCTTGGTCAGAGGCAATCTACATTGGGTGAAATGACATTGGAGGAGTTTTTAGTTAGAGCAGGAGTGGTTCGAGAAGATATGCAACCAACTGGAAGCTCGACTGATGTTAGGTTTACCGGTGGTTTAAGTCAACCTAGTACTAACAACAATGGTCTGAACATAGCATTTCAGCAACCTACTCAAACTCCTGGATTGTTGAGTAATCAATTTGAAGATAATAACATGTTGAATGTGGTTAGTGCCACATCTTCACAACAAATACTGAATGTGGCCTTCACATCTCCTATGCAATTAGGGACCAATGTCCAACTGGCTAACGCGGGTGCTAGGGAACCCGCTGTCAGCATGTCGAGTCCTTCTGTAAATACTAGTACTATTGTTCAAGGAAGTGTCATGCAGGGTGGAACTAAAGGCTTGGCCGGATTGCGTAATGGAGTTACACCAGCAAAACGAGGATCGCCTGGAAATCAACTGTCACCGGACATGATGTCTAAGAAGGTGCTGGACAGATCATCTCTTTCACCTTCACCTTATGCATTTATTGAAGGCGGAAAAGGGAGGAGACCATGCAACTCTTTGGAAAAAGTTGTGGAAAGAAGACGTAAGAGAATGATTAAGAACAGAGAATCCGCAGCAAGATCAAGGGCTCGGAAGCAGGTGAACTCATATGTTTATAATAAAAAACTTGACAAAGGGATTCATTATCTATAACTTTATGAAGCAAATAAATTTGAGTTTGCAGGTTGACTTGAGGGAAGTGCATATGTTCTTCACTAAAGCTTTAGAATCTTTAATCATAAATATAACTGGTGCAAATTTTGGGACTGAAAGGGAGATATTGTTAGACACGTTTATACATTTAGGTTTTGCATGAATTACTCTGTTAATGACACTTCGAGATGACAGGCTTACACTCTAGAGTTGGAAGCTGAGGTGGAGAAGCTTAAAGAAATCAACAAAGAGTTGCACAAGAAACAGGTATTGACAATTGTTGAAATTTACAGCACCTACACTAAAGTTACTGTAATAACTGCTGTTTTTCAATGTTTCGTGCAGGCTGAATTTATCGAGATGCAGAAAAATCAGGTACTAACCTCTTTTACAACTAGCTGGATTGGATAACTACCTAAGTTTCCTGCTTTATTATGGGCTAGATGCAGCGATCGTAAGTTAAACGAATATGAACCATAGGTTAAACTAAATCCTATAGCGCATAACTTAACAATCAGAAGATATATTAAAGTTTCAAGGAAACTAGCTATGGGTGTCATCATGTTACCTGATTCTTGTGAAAATGGCATCACCTGTAAAGACGTCACAATTTTAAAAGTGAATGTGTGTTCTATGTGACTGAGTGAGACCGATGCATGTGTTCAGTTAAACTTGATTGCTTGTTTAAATGCCCCTGGTCATCTTGTTAACTATTCTGTTCTATCAAATCACAGTTAATGGAAAAGATGAATATGCCGTGGGGAAATAAGTTAAGATGCTTGAGAAGGACACTAACAGGACCTTGGTAGACTCTAGCGGTGCCAAATCCCAGCATATACAACCTTAGAGAACAGTTAGATTCGTCGAAGGAGTTGTAATATGTGATATTATGATCTGATTCAGATCTTTTTTCATCATATTGTTGATAGCTATATGTATATAAGTGAGTGTGGCTTGTCCTACTGTATGTATTATTATGTAAATGAGCTTCTGGCATAAAGTTTGTGCTTTGTCTGCTTTTTGTTTGAATTACATTAGTTGCAGGGCAAAAGAGAATGTAGTTAGATTATCACATGAAGTAAATATACTCCATAACACAAGGATAAAAGTCTTTCTGGAACATTACATTTTCTTGTTTTCCATGTACAATCAAACATCTCTATAACAATCTTGTTTGTTCCGATATTTTTTGGTGGTTGTTATTATTAGGATGACTTGTTATTATTAGGATGACTGATATGGAGAGGTCTGACTAACGTAAAACTTGTAACATCAACTCAGTTTTTCTGCATTATATATCACTTTGTAGCAAGAAGGGATACCCAATCCCTCTTCTCCTAGAAGGAAAAATCACAAAGAGAAGACTAATCACAAATCCAATCACCAGTGGAACGGTATTGATGACTTTTCTTGGAACAACAAAATGATAACAGTGAAGCACATCATTGTGTGATGCTGCAAAGGTAAGGAAAGCAATCAATGAAAGTGATGCATGAAAAATATCAGACCATCTAAGTCTATAATCTCTTGGCACACAAGGCTTAATCCTTTTTCCATTGAAAGTCCAAATGCCACTGAATGTTGCCACCCCATAATGTAGTCTCCCTCTAGCTGATTTGAAGCTGTCAGTGAACGAGAAAAACACGCAAGAAACAGCCGATAGGATCAAGAAAATCGCGGTCATATACTGCTCAAACTTGTTGCATTGGCCATCATTGGTTAGTATGGGTGCAAAAATGGTGAATGCTAGGATTGTGGCAGTTGGTAAGAGGACGTTGAGGCGAGCCGTGCCACTTAGGATTGTGTTGATGATGAAAATGAAGTTGGAATCCTTTTCTTCTTCATCATATTCTGGGAGGTAGAAGTCATTCTCAGGTTCATCAATTTCAACCAAATGTTGGTACATATTGTTGTTGTTCTCCATCTTGAATTGGTGGGGTTGTTGAAATCTGAAGGTACTCTCAACATTATATCAAAAGCTTAATTATACTAAGATAATGGTATTGAATGACTTGTGAAAAAGGAAAAGGAAAAGGAAAAAGAGAGAATGGTGTTGAAAGAGGTTCTTGCTGAGATTTAAGGAAAAAGCAATTCCATTTCTTCTAATTGTTTACTTCCTTTAGATCAAACTCTAGGAAAGGTATCATTAAGGGGTGAGGCTTTTTTTTGTTGTAGGGGAGAACAAGAACCAACGTGGTTTTTCTTCTTTTGGTTTATGGTTCTTATTTTGTACTCTATCCGTCCCATTTTAACTGTCATTTTAGCTTTTTTTTTCCACCCCTTAAGAAAAAAATAAATACAATATATAATTTACTAAGTTATCCTTGTCAAATGCTTTTGAGAATTGCACAATATAAATAAGAAAAAATATATACTCTCTGTTTTAATTTATGTGAACCCATTTGACTGAACACGGAGTTTAAGAAAAGAGAGAAGATTTTTAAACTTGTGGTGTAAAATGAGGCTCATATATTTTGTGTGATTATAAATCATTGCATAAAGATAAATTGTTTTCAAGTACGAAAAGAGGTTATTCTTTTTTATACGGATTAAAAAAAAATAAGTTAACATAAATTGAAATGGAGGAAGTACTAAATCCGTGTCGAATGTGTTTGACATCACTGAACTATTAGGGAGGATTTTTACTGAAAAGGAAACAAAAGATATATATCTAAATGATTGTGTGTCACACACAAGCGCCCGTGGCCTAATGGATAAGGCGTCTGACTTCTAATCAGGCGATTGTGGGTTCGAGTCCCACCGGGCGTGTGTAGGGCTGCTTTTTAATCCTAGTTATTTTTTGGTTTAATGTTGCCAAGCAAATCCATTTCTTAATTTTGCTAACAATTGTTGGTTGAGATTTTAGAGTTAACTGGGAAACTGAATTACAGAAAGAGTCTTAATTTAAGATGTTGGATTCACCATTAAAACTGATTGAGTTGGTTTTTATCCTTCTAGTATAATTTATCATACATCGGTTTATTTACGAATGTGTGATATATGTTTGTTGTTTTTCCACAGTTACACGCTTTTACGCGTGATGAGATAGCTCCTTTGGACTCGAGACCCCTAAATCTATCGCGTTACAATCCCGCAAGGCCACAACATACGAAGAAACGGTAATACCACCGAAGCCAATCTTTGGTCTAAGTGATGTATTAATCCAAGAAAATGTCCGTAACACGAATAAAGGATGGTGTTCAAATAATTCCTCAACACAGACAAGTCTTTGTACTTACAACACCTTCAGATCCCTCACGAGCAGGGCTCCAACAAGGTGAAAAAGTATAGTTGACAAGAACCTCCCTTATTTTCATTTTTCGTATCGTCGTCGTCTTTACTTGGGCAGGAGAGGGTATAGATGAAAGATGAAAAAACTAGTTGTGTGAGGTTATTCTTTCAAGTTTTCAACGCAGTCGTCTTACATATGGGACAGATATTCTTCAGCACTAACCACTGCTTAATGCAGTTAGTGTGGAATTCATGCCCACAATCCAACATGCCCATGATATCTCCAGCTTTGTATTCCTCCTGATTATAGTACAAGATAGAACAAACTTTAGCTAACAAATCTGCCAAAAAGTAATACTCTATCCATAGCGGAGGCAGGATTTCCGCTAAAGATACAAAACAAAAAAAAACAAAAAAAATTAAAAGAAACTGTGGCTAGTGGGAATTGAACCAGCAACCTAACAAAGGTTTTGAATCCCCTTAACCACTGAAATATGCTTTTGTGCAATATCAAGGGGATTCAAAATACAGTCAAACCTCTCTATAACAGCCTCGTTTGTTCCAAATATTTTTGGATGTCTTAGCGAAATGATGTTATAGAGAACATATATTATAACATAACATGAAATTTGGTTCTGAACAAGCTTGGCTTTTATAATGAAGTGTTGTTATATAGGAATGCTATTATAGAGAGGTCTGACTGTATAATATATACATGTACAAATAGATTTTGCCTCATATGTACAGTGTAATTTTCCGGCGAACCCCCTTCCGCACCCCTAAATCCGTCCATCTATCAAGTTATGTAAAAACATCAGATAAGATTCTTACCTGACATATACAGCATGGCTCCAAGTTTGATGAGGATCGTCCATATACAGACTCGTGCTTCCGCTGTTTCATATTGACCCAAATGGTTTCTTCAGTCAAGCCTGTGTTTACATTTCCTATACGTTCTTCCAATGCCAATAGTTCCTAATAGACGAAGCAATCCGTGAGATCTGCATTTCGAAATTTACTGACAGCAAAAATGAACTACATTACCTCATAGTACATGTTATCAACATCGAGCCTCATGTCTCTATGCCTATCATGGAACTCAGCAACTCCATTGATAAAAGGATCACCCAACATATAATCCTGAGAAATGAAAGAAATGCGAAAAAATTTACATCAGAAGTGTCCACAAAAGTCACTAAAAGTTACATTCACTAAATAAGAAATCAACACATAAAGTGGCCAAGCAAAATTGAGCTGTTCTAGTGGCACTCATTAACATGTCATTAGTTGGGTCCAAGTAATAAGCACATTTATGAAGAATGTGTGGTTGGAATAAGACTGTCCAGTGAAAATTGGAACTCTTATAACAAGGACCCAAGTTAGAACCTTCATGGTAAAAAATCAGACGCAAGTTGATCTTGTCATGAAGAAGAACAAAATAACTGACAATCGGAAAATAAAGTTAATACTACAAGATGAAAATGCCCACAATATTATCCATTCAAATTGCATCCGATAACTAAAACTCACCCTATCAAAAATTTAATAAGAAAAAAAGAAAAAGAAAAATCAGGTAACTAATCCTTTCCCCCTCTCCAAGCAATCATGTTTACCATGCAGGCAATATAATTTCCCTGCCTTTCTTGCTAAACTAACATAGCACAGCTTACAATTATCAGAATAATGCAAATATTTTCAAGTTTACAGGCCAATACATAAGGATTAAACGTATATGTATTATAATATCCAGATAACAGGCTGCAACTCTTTTCTGCTAATACACATTCATTGGATTATTATAAGGATTGAAATAAAACCTCCGATCGCAAGTTTTCGACCCTCCGCATGGCATTCAGGACTTGACGAATCTGTTGGACATAAGTAGGCAAGATTAATCAGGCATTGACAAAGTTTCCAATCCAGTGAGGAAATTATTGGCAGGTGTAAAGTATCTCATAATCAAGACATGCATAAACGACAACAAAAAACAGCTGCATAAGTGATCAAGAAAGCAAACAGCAACATCCTTCTACGACCCCATTATAAGATCCCATGATGCAGATTGTCGAGAAAACTTACTCTTTGCATGTATTCTCTGAATTATGTACATGTACATGCATGTTGGGGCCAGCATAAAATCCCCCAATCCTAAATAATATGAGTAAACCAGATCGGAGAAAAATAACCGAATATCCAACTGGAAATAAAGCTATTAACCAGAGCAATAAAAAAGAGTTCTCTTGAGGAGGACAAAATAGTGAATGAGAGCAAATGTCTATACATTCACCATGCCAGATACAAGACAGCAAAGTTCAGATACCTGCACTGACAGTCAAAATACAACATCATTAGATATTATGTGAAAAGTAAACTCCGTACCAGTCTGTGTCGACCCTCAACATCAGCAGCTAAAGCACGCCAACCATCCACATCATCACCTGGATCAACCATCAAACTTGATCTAAAACGTGGCTGACGGATACCACGGCTACTAGATCGGGAAGACATCACTGGATCCTCTGAGGAAGAAGGAGCCGAAGGCAGCAGAGAAAAATGACCTCTCTGACTTCCAGACTCGGGCTCAACTGGTGGGAAGAGAATCCAAGGAGCAAATTCTGGTAATCTATGATGGCTAGTAGTTGCTGAGTTTGGATTAGTCCATGCAGTAGGAGAATTGTGTCCGCTTGAACCAGGACCAACTGCAGAACTAGGACTGTTTCTAGAAGAGCTTGCATTTGCAGTAGCTAAGCTCCAATTTGTGGGGTCAAGTACCATATTTCTTGTCTCAGGAACAGGAACAAATGGATGGGACTCCCCATTATTTCTGATAGTACTGAAGTTAGCTTCATCTCCAGATGCAGCACATCTATCTCCAGAAATCATTGATAAACTACCACCTCGTGAACTAGGAGATACATCCCACGGAAGTGAGTGCAAGCCTCTTGAAGGACCAGGAACATGCATCATGTGAGACTGGCTTCCAAGGTTACCTGAATTCATTGGCAGTGAAAATGGCTGTCTCGATTCCGAAGAGCTAGTTACTGAGGTAGGTCCAGGTCGCACATGGGCGGGGCTGACACTAGATTGCCCTGCAGTAGTCCCAATTGGTGGAGTCCCAATAGGTGGTAAACCAAATGTAGTGTGACCCTGATTCGCAGGATTTGCTCTAACACAAAAATTTCTGGCAGAGCTTTCTGCAACTCCACCAGCACTTAAAGGAGGAAATATATCAGAAGCAGATATACTTGTACCAACCCCATTTCTTGGATTAAGATTTTCCAGATAACCAGCATTCTGCATATTTGCAGCAGGGGATGAAATGTTTAAGCTGCTAGAAGCATTATAACGACTAGGATGGTTATCCTGTACAATGTTCTCATGTCCTGCATTGGAGCTTGAACTTCCACCTAGAAAAGACTGTCCAGAAGTTCCTTCAAGGGACTTGCTCTTGCAGGATAAACCCCAATTATCCACAGATGAACCTGATATATTACTGGTCCCTGCCAAATAACCAGAACTACCTGAAGAGGTACCATTATCATCAGATGCACCAAAAGCCGGAGGACGCTCCACTTCTGACCTGTCAAATTTGTAAACAAGTGGAGGTACACTTGTTCGCATGACCAGCCGACCATCATCATTATTGTATCTACCACTTAAATTAGCATTTACCGGACTATGATCCGAGGCAAGGCTTGTTGATATACTAGGAGGCCTGCCAATAAGACGATTGCCACCATAACCACTTGCAGGAAAGACGTTTGAAGGTTCAAATTGCCATTCGGACCTTGAATTTGTCATAGCATAATCATTAGATGAAGAAGGCCAACCTTGTCCTCTTTTCAAGTCACTGCCACATATGCGGTCATGCAAATTAGCAGTGGAGCTGGACTCACCTTGATCCCAATTACTAAACCTTTGAGCATTATAGTTAACACCATTAGCATAACTAGGATTTCCTCCAGCGGAAGGAAGCATGGAATTTGACAACCGATTCTCTA